CACACACACACACACACACACACACACACACACACACACACACACACACACACACACACACACGAGATCAAGCATGAGGAATTAGCGGTACACACGTTAACGAGATAACATTGTCATTATCAGGAATTAAAAAAACACTCGTTTCATTAATAATTCTCTTTTTTTCTCTCTTTCTTACGACTCTGTTGTCAGCTATTAGATTGAACCTTGAACTCGAACATTGTACTGTTTGTCGTCGCAGTGATGCTCATACGTGCTATATTCGTTATTCGCTTATACCGTTTATATGTTGTTTATAGGCTGTAGCACACAGAGCATATAAAACGCGTGCACGAAAGAAATCCACACAACCACCGATTAACCGGACGGCTAATGGATACGCTTGCATCAACGCCGGTCGTTACGGCACCGCGCGCGCGTATCCTTAGATAACATAAACAACACGGTCGCGCGCATTAAAAATTGTTACGGGCATGTCGCAGGAAGCACATCGTTTCATAATGAAGCACAATGTTGCGACAAATTCTTTCTCGCGCGATCGTAATCGCAGCTCGCGATGCATATTTACGTTGCACTATCGCAATTATTCATAACATTGTAACGTACGTACAGGAACTTGCACGCGCAGCTCGTTCGTTACGCATTCGGTCGCGTCCGCATTCAAGGCTGCGAGCCTAACGAAAAGGCAGAACGGTCGTGTTATCTAATAAATACCGATGAGATACTACGCGCGAGCCATGCGTACCCGCTTTCAGACGATCAAAGAGAGTCGTTCGTGTATCAAAGTGTTACGTCAGTCCAACTCGTTGCGTATCGTCATGACCACTGTAAATCACAAGAGTCACGACACTAAAGTTGGCTTGGAGTTTATGCTGTTATTTCAACTGTTGCACTTGCATACTGACTCGCTACCACGTGACGTCACGTGACGATGATGAAAATTGCAGTAATTTATGATCTTTACGTACATGTGATTAGAGATACTACTTCACCTTATTCGTATAAAACATCCTAGAATATATCTTTAAAACGTGACGCAGGTTGGATCGTTCAAGTACGACGTGGCGCGGTGAAAGCTACCAAAGAGAAAAAAGAATTTCCTCCGGATATCTCGAAATACGTTTCGTTACGCTCGATACAATTCACGAGATATCATCTAATTCCATGTAGCTAGTCGTTGCTATGAATTTGACACTCTCTCAAATCTGTTGTTTATCCTAAATTTCATCACCTAGCCAGAGTCCGTCCTTGAACTTTATCGCTACCTCGACATTCAATCGTTGAGGGAGAAAGGTCGTTATCAAATCATATGGCGCTTATAAGCGAAGATCAAAAAAGTCTCGGATGATGTCCCGGAGTCTGACAGGTATTTCCTCACGTATAAAAGCACAAAGGCTTTTTTCGCTCGAAAGTTTCTCGGGAAGAAAAAAACGAGAACAAAGAATTCAATCAGGCTTGTGCTTCTTCGCTCGCTTGACCAACATGTAACGCGAGTGTATAGTCCTTTCTCCGACTCTCTCGCCACTCCGGCACACCCCTTCTTCGATAAATTGTAGCCGACCACGTGGATTATGGCGCTATCCGACGTCCTCGCGAAGGAAGAGGAACAAGGCAGAGAGCGCGGTGAAAGCGAAAGACAAACGCGCGACTCCTACCAGTCGTTACGCACGCACGCACGCATACACGCGCGCAGCCGTCAATGACGAGGCGCGTACGATGCAGGAACGTCGCCGACGAGTTTCATGCCACGTGCACTGTTTTCGCTGTGTAACTTCTGAGTTAACGAGCTATCTCTTTAGAAATTTCCGAATGTAACTAAGAAGCGAGACGGCACTCACCAGAGAGACACTCTGTTTAACGTAAAGGAACCGTCCATTTCTTTTGACTTTTGGTCAATCCTTGTTTGATGAATGTTGATGAATCTAAACAAACGGACGACGCACACGTGGCTTTATCTATGAATCATACGTTTGAAATGTCAACGGCAAAGATAAGATAAGCGGTTAACTCGTATCACGAGCCACAACTTTAACGAGATTGTCGCACAGTGGATCTTACGATCAAATATAATTATACAATAAGAAAAACATTTCGGAAATTGCGTACGTACGTCTGAGCGTTTCGATTTCGGCAACTCTTGTCTGAACATGTCCGTCTTTCTTTCTTTTCTTATAGATATCGAATATGTAGAATACTAATGAGAAGAAACAATCTGTGTGAATTCTGACAGAGTCAGAATGAAGGTTAGGGTTATAGGAACGCTTGATGCAGCACTGGTCGGTAGGGTGAGATTCGCGGGATCGCGTACATGTAACAGTGAATCCGTGAGTACGCGCGTGCGAAAGCTCCGCAGGTCACCGCGTCCTTTACACCCTCCCTCCCTCCCTCCCTCTCTCTTGCTTCCTCTTTCCGGCATCCTTTGTCCCTTTCGCCGTCACCGCTCTTCGATCTCACGCACCCTCTTTCTCCTCTTTCTTTCCCTCTATCTCGCCCACAGTGGCGTATCGCGCGCGGCATACTCCGATATATAGCATCGGAACATTTCGTAAAACTTGATGAGAGTGCCGCCTGATCATGACAAAGTGCGTGTCTCCTCTCCCAAATTTCCAAGAAACGTCCAATTTCTTGCAGAAAATTTACATGTTCAATTGACGTTCGAGACACGCATGTGACGCATTGTTGCTTCGCAATCAATTCCGACGTCTGAGAGGGAGTTATATATACGTTATATATACGCACGACAGTAACACGATAGCTGTCTAACGATATTATTCGCCGATTAATTAACGGGCGAGCTTATCTCCTAAGTTTGGGAGAAATTTTACAGCCCGTGAAGAGCATGGATCAACAGCGAATCATTGATAAACGCTGTTATTGAATAAGCGGCGATATTTTATTACGCGTGATAAATGTGCCATCGGTTGGACTTGATCTGGAGAAAAACATAATCGTAACATGATCGGTATAGCAATAATAAGAAATTTGTCCCTGTGATACTATCGTCCTAACCTTTTATTTTTTGTTGTCTTTACCCCGTTCGTATGAAGTCGGAATTTGTGAAAATGCAAACACACTGTTAAAAATACTCGAGATATGGATGACGTTGACCACAGCTGTCAAGCCAGTTTCTACGTTTGCACATTACCGCTGTAGGAAACAATCTTGTAGATGTCGAGCGAGATCGGCAATCGACGTCGAGATATTAGCTGCGCAAGGCCTGTGTATAGCCTCTCTAGCGTCGAGCGTCAGCTACGTCCCTGCGCCATCTCGCGATCGTCGTCCGCCACCCTTACTCTCCCCCTTTGCTGCCGGCGAATTGTACGCGCGAGCACGAGCGCGACTGCTGGGAAACCACTCCGGCAGCCTCCACGTGCTGCGAACGGCACTCGGCCGTCGCGAAATTCTAGGTCGCCGCCGTCGGTTCGCGGACGAGCGCATGGCGAAGAGAGAAGAGAAGAGGTGAGGTGGAGTGAGGTACGGTCGGCCGCTGGCTGGTGGGACGTGAAGGGAGAAGGTAGGGGGTTTCGCGGTGGCGCGTAGAGGGGGAACGATCGCGCGCTCGTGCGTGCGCGCCTCGGTCGTGATCGCTCAACGCGCTCGAGGAGGTAAACATTGTACAGTACGATTGGCTGGCCCCGAGGCGGCGGGTTCTTCGGTTTTCCTTTCTGGCTTTCTATCGAGAAGATGATGATGATGAAGAAGAACAAGTAGCAGTAGTAGTGGAAGAATTACGAGAGGAAGACGAAGCAGAAGAAGAGGATCTTTTTATTTGCAAGTTGTCGCGCGATCGTGCCAACGACGCTGTCTTTCGCCCGCGAATTATCACAAAACTGACTCGAATCTATTACCGCCACCGTAATCTCGTGGATGTCGCCGACGAGGCGAAGAACAGTGATAATAACGAGCGTCTGGATTTCGTTGGATTGTGCCAAAGTGTAACGTGGCCGTGCAGGTGGGTGTTTATTACTTGTTCTTTCTCTCCGTCGAGACACTTAACCTCCCCCCCTCTCTCTCTCTCTCTCTCTCTCTCTCCCTCCCCCCCGCCCTCCTCTCTCCCCTATCCATTTTCTTTCATTTTTTTATTGCTACCGATTCGCGCGTTAATCTGGCGTGATTCTTGTGAGATTTTGTTGATCCTTCTGTTCTTAATTTAACCAATTTTTGTTAATATATATCTCTTTTATAAATCTTCCTATTCTACCATATATTATGCATTAAACCATATGTATTAAACCATACAACAAGTACAATAAGTGAACCTCCGTATGATTCTCGTCTTTTCTTAGCTCAGTATTTCATTAATAAATTGCACGAGATGAAATGTTTTTTTATATTGTCTGCCGCTTTGAATTTAGGTTTCACACAATAACAACGGATTACGTTCTACCTACTTACCGCGAAAATGCGTCGAACAAGACGAGAGATACAACGTTCGATTAATGTGATTGTGTTTCGAAATGAACCTACTGACAACGAATTGAAATCGCATATTTGATATCTGACTTTTGTTTCGCATTTTTCGTCACGCGCGGCTTGTTCGCAAATATATCTACAAATAGAAAGTTGTAAAAGTTTCGTAATCTTCAAAATTGTTTATTTATTTGACGGGAACGAGGGGGGGAGGGAGAGAGATTATTTCTCATGGTCTAATCTACCGAGAAATAATTGTAATTTATTAAAATTTTGTATACACAAAGTGACGAGATGACACAAGGATTTATGTAAAACACACGACCAAACGTCGTTGCGCGCGGATTATTCGAGCTGAAAAGGTAGAAGAAAGGAGAGAAAGGGGCATAGAGAGGCAGAGGCGCGCGGTTTCATCGTAAAATCGGCCGAAAGTGTCTTCCGGGCGAGAGCGCCGGCGATTCGGCTGTAGGGCGAGATTTCCCCTCGGCAGCGGGGACGTTTCCGTGGATCAATACGATTTTTGCGTATCCCACTGCGTAGCAATACTCTCTGTTTGTCTATCTCTCTCTCTCCCTCCCTCCACCCTCTCTCTCTCTCTCTTTCTCTCCCTCTCTTGTAGGACGCCGATTAAAGCGGAGCTCGGTCAAGAAGAAGGCGGTTCCGTTGTAGCAAAGTGGAGGAGGCGGATAAGGAGATGAAAGAGGAGGCGGAGGATTTTTGCGAAGCGGGGGGGAGAGAACGGAGGGAAGAAAGAGCGTGTCGTACGCCGTTTAACGCCGGACGTATATCGCCACAGCGCGCTTTCGTGATGTAACTCGACGTCCTTACTGCGCGCCGAGTTGGACGAGGTCGGTGATCGCTATAAAAAAATGCGACTCGTACACGTGGAGGCGGTCGGAGGGTTTCGGCCGGTTCGGCTTGGCGCGGCGCGAAAGAGGCGCGCGTTGCGAACTGCGTGTTGGCGGGTGGGTGGGGAAGCGGAAAGGAGGGGCGCGGTGCACTGTGCCGCCGACCGCACCCGCAGCCTCCAGGCGCGTGCAGACAACGCTGAGCGGGGCGCGTATATTGCGCACGTATGTATCGCTCGTGCGATTTGGCTAATCTAAACGATATGAATATTCCGTCCGCTTGTTTACTTGTATCCTGTGTTTTCATTATCTCGTGATTACTTAACTTGAATAGATTTAGATAGTTTAACATTTGCTCGCGTTGTATCGGCGCGTATTGTAGGAATAGGCGTACGATAATATGCTTTCGACGCGCAGTTTTTACATCTCTAATGAGGAGGAAGTAAGCTATGATTTGGAAAATGTAACAATTTTTTATTCACTGATACTCGCGAACAGCGAGTAACAACCTCTGATAAACCATCGTCGACTGTTTTGCATATTTATTGCTACTTTAACGGTCGGTACGGTGTGTTTAGATTTCGTAATAAGATTCGCGTAAGCTTGGATGCAATCAATTACGCGCGTGGATTCGCGATTCCTCGATTCAAGAAGAGAGCTTCGCTCATCGGTCTTTCGTCTCATCGATCTCGCGGTATCAAAGCGTGCGAGCGCACGCTATGGATCTTCCTAACGTGCATTACGAAATGACTCACTATGTGATGAGTGCGATTTGACTAACCAGGCTCCTCCTGACATCTCTGTTACAGCATCCTGTGTTCGATGTTGGCCTACTATCAGACAGAACCCATGCCGAATCCAGCGACGATGTCGGTGCCGAGTGGCATGGTTGCCGCCGCCGGCGGCGGCGACGGCGGCTGTCTGGACGAGGTAAAGCCGGTCAAGAATCTGGTGTGCAGTCCAGATCTCACGATATTTGCCGCACCAAACTGCAGTGGTGCGGAAATCGGCTCGGCTAGCCCGACGACGATGACGTCAACAACAACGGCGGCAGCGACTACGACGATAACGACAGCAGACGGCAGCGGCAAGTACCAATGTCTGCTCTGTCAGAAGAGCTTCCCGCAAAAGAGCATGTACCAGAGTCACCTACGGTCCCACGGTAAGGATGGCGACGGTCCTTACCGCTGCAACATCTGCGGCAAGACGTTCGCGGTGCCAGCGCGGCTTACCCGCCACTATCGCACCCATACCGGCGAGAAGCCGTACCAATGCGAATACTGCAGCAAGTCGTTCTCGGTGAAGGAGAATCTGAGCGTGCACCGGCGTATCCACACGAAGGAACGGCCATACAAGTGCGACGTGTGCGGCCGCGCGTTCGAGCACAGCGGCAAACTGCACCGTCACATGCGTATCCACACCGGCGAGCGACCGCACAAGTGCACCGTGTGCTCCAAGACGTTCATACAGAGCGGCCAGCTGGTGATACATATGCGCACGCACACAGGCGAGAAGCCGTATGTGTGTAAGTCATGCAAGAAGGGCTTCACCTGCTCCAAACAGTTGAAGGTCCATACGCGCACCCACACCGGTGAGAAACCCTACACCTGCGACATCTGCCGCAAGGCTTTCGGCTACAACCACGTGCTCAAGCTGCACCAGGTGTCACACTACGGCGAGAAGGTGTACAAATGCACGATCTGCAACGAGACCTTCGGCTCCAAGAAGACGATGGAGCTGCACATCAAGAAACATCCGGACTCGGCGGCAGTAGTCACTGTCGCAGCCGCGGTAACGGTAGCCGCTGACACTGCAGCAGCGGCTGTAGCAGCAACAGCGACTGCTGCCGGTGGCTCGCTTATCGAACCGGACATCGAAATCTCCCGGGGCGGCCTTGGCAGCGCGGTCGCGAGTCCAGCTCTACCCAGCGCCACCGACGACAAGGAGAATCTGAAGACTGAAGACATCTATCTCGAGTCGAGCGCGTACGCAGTTCAGCGAGATTTCACCTACTACCTGTACCCCGGCAGCAGGGAGCAGCAGTATGCGACGCAGCAGTCGGCGGCGGTGCCGACGGCGGTGCCGCCGGTGGTGCCGCCGGTGGTGAGCTCGGAACCGGTGATGACCGAGATCGACGAGAAGCGCTTCCAAGCGACCGTAAGAGTGAGCTCCCCTCACATATTGGAGCCGCCTCACATGTTTTTCTTCCCTGAGCCGACATACACCGGCTTTGGTCTGGCCGCTGTGGACGGCAACGTTGATCTCGACGCCGACTGCTCGTCCTTGTTGAATTTGCCTGGTAACGATGCGCGTCGTAGAGTGGAAGCCGCGCTGGAAGCCGTCGAAGTGGAACACCAGCGAGAGTACGGTGGCATCAAAGTTGACCCGCTACTCACACCACCGAGCAGCAATCCCGAGAGTCCAGCGTCGTCACCCGATCCCTTGGACCTGGCGATACCTTCGCGAGAGACGCTGATTCTGCCGCCCAGGAAGCGCAGCAAGATGATCCTGCAATCCATGGAGAGCGAGAGAAGCGGTCTTATCGCGGCCGTGCAGAGACAGAGCTCCGTCATCCAGTTCGCACGAGCCTCATAGTGAACGTACGCGCACAAGTACGCGCGGGCGAAGCGTCGCGAAGGCTCCCGAAAGCTCCGCGAGTCGTTCGGTGCGATGACGCCGAGCCAGCCTGGAGAAAGAAAAGTCGGAGCAAGCTTGGGAATGTTGACGCGTTGGAGATGTTGTTCTAAAATATTTACGACGCGAATTGTAGCGACGGTCATCTTGGAACTCATCAGCCACTCGGATTCGGAAAACGCCTCTGGTAAATGAAATCGGACAGCGGAGAGGACAGCTTATTATACGTATCTCTCTTGGGCGAAGCCTCAACATAAACGTACAGGCGAGTGTATATTGTTGCTCATCCGACGTCTAATATCCATTCACAAACCACGCTCTCGAGCTGTCGAGGAGAAGCTGATCGCGTGCTGGTCAAACGTGAGATCGCGTTCGTTACTTAATGGTAATTAATAGTAATTAAGGCAGTCTCTGGCAGGCACTGCACGCATATTTTCCACGTAACAGCCCACGGGCGACAACACTCTCGCGGCCATATCCTCGATCTTGTTCGATCGCTCTCTGCGAGGCTTTAACCTTACGTATATGTCGGGAGTGTACATGCGCGGAGATGACGCGAGAGACTGGAGGGACTTTCTTGACCGCGAGGGGGGAGGGGCGGTTCGCTGATCGCTAGCATGCCCAGTCTTTTTTAGCTGATGTACCCTACGATTATCAAATCGATAAAAGAACATAATTCTGTGAAATCACATTTTCGAAATTAAAAGAATTAGAAAAACTGGGACAGGTAGAAATCCAAGAGATAAACTACGGCATCTCTTCAACTTGTACTTGTTCAGAAGGTGAAGACCTCTTTTTGTGGTGAAGCCAAAACACATTTGTTATAAATATAAATTTTACATGTATGTATGTATAAAAAATATTTTGTTACGGAGATTTTTATCATTTTTATGTTCCGACAGATGAAATTTTTAGCAAAAAAGATAAATGGCAAGTTTTTTATGTTTCTTCAACATTGTAGCGATTCACTTACGTCTTGTCTCGTAAATACTTGAGATACCATGGCTTCTAACGTTCCACTTAATAAGCAGGGAAAGGTTGTGCGAGCTTCGACAACTGTGAATCATTCCAACGAGATAAAAATCATCAATTGTATACACTTGTGACACTCAACTACGGGTGCGTAAATTTACTCTACGACAGTTGTTGCCAACAATCGGGCAACAATTGCAAATATAAATGCATTTATTCGGCCAGTTTTTACCGCTAGCTACAAAACTGCCCCAATACCGCGGTCAATGATCGACCAGCGTACTACGCAATAATTTACCAATATGTCGTATATAATTGCATAAGAAGTTAGAAGATGATAGAAGAAGAGAAAACTCGGCCATCGAATTATAGGTTCGTCGTTCACAACATTGAGACCCGGAATGATAATTCGCGTGTTCTTGCGTGTATTACCTCATCGCCGCACGTGCGCCAGGACGTGGGCCACGACGGCGAGTCGTACTCCCCGCGTCGTTTATCTTTCCTTCGAGTAATTTATATGACCCGCTTTTGGGACTAACTTTTGACGTGTCGTGTATGTCCTGTGTAATTGTATAATTCCATGCCGAAAGATCGACTCGCGTCGACCATGTTGGATGTGCTCGTGAAAGTCGAAAGAACATCCAATTAATCACTTGCCAGCCTTAAAAAAAAAGAAAGAAACAAACTGACGGTAGTCTACCTCGTTAGCGTCACAGTCCGGTCGCCTGAAGTCCCAGTGGCTATCGTTCGTTGCCATCACAGTCGAGTGCTTTTATCAGCAAAGTGAATGAATTTTCCGTACGGTAATTTACGGGGACTGAATTGTTAGTCGGACATCCCTTGGTTTCAAAGGATGTCCTTTGGCCAATTTGTCCTTAATGTTGTATTTCCGGTACAGTGACACGCGCTCGTCGACCTTAACTTACGGATGTATTCGTGCGATGTTATAATTCATCCTAGAATAGAAAGATCTAAGAGAAAATACAAGCTTTCAAAAAATCTTAAGAAACTTTATCGAGAATTCATTTTGTCATAAGAATTGACACCGTGTTCGAAACAAACGCATTTTCGCGTTTGTTCTCATTATTATCGCGTTCGGTCAAGCTCGTATTTCCGTGTATATGTAATTGAAAAATTATGGCTCGCTCAACGATGACGTCACTGGGCTCTCCCATGTATCAAACGTTTATCCGGACGGGCGAATTTTATCCGTCGACAATTCATCAAGAAATTTAGATAAATTTTCAAGGACTCTGTGTGTGTGTGGTATGTGTGTGTGTGTGTGTGTGTGTATGTGTGTGTATGTGTGTGGACGAGTTTTGCCAACGTTAACTGTAACCGCGTAATTTACTTCAGTTCTACGTCCCTCTGCCAGTTTTCGAAAGAGACTCAATTAAAGCTAAGGTCAAAGTTAAAAATTTGGCGAAGCTGTTCGTGAGTCCTTGATATCTGCGGATTTTCCTCCCGAAAGGCCATAATGTCTCACGCGCTTTCGATTATATAGTATAATATATAGTATATTATATAGTATAATATATACATATATTTATATGTAAATATTATATGTATATTATACACACACATACACTATATAGACGGCTTGCGTATAACGTGCGAAACCAAGACAAATCGAATCGACGATACGAGGAAGGATATCTGTCCTTAACGATATCGTCGGAATTGTTTATCGCTTTTGTGAGAATTGAAAATCGATCGTTATTTAGTACGTGGAAATTAGTGTGTAATTATTAATCGGCGTAGCCAGACGATACCGCTGCGGAACTACAAAAAAAAAAGAAGGATTACAGTTTGCATGGGAAAGAGAGCGAACAAAGGGAAAGAAAAGTGCACCAAACAATTTGATATCTCTGTGATAAGAACTCCATAGTACCAGAGTATTGAGCGGAGCCGAGCCCACTGCCAGTACAAGCGTATATGTGCACATGCATGCTAATGTAATGCGAAATTACACATTGTACAACGATGTGAGGACGATACGTTAACACACGGCGAAACACCGTTTGCTTTAATTCGCTTCGGACTCGACTTTAACATAGCTTTCTCGCTGTCTGAATTTCTCTTTTCTGCGCAAATCCTTGATCCTCGACGTATCTTCATTGTTTTACGCAACTGTCGACAGAACAGAACTGCCTTACTATTCATTCATTGATTATTTTTGTTGACCGAAATGCTCTTTGGTATTTGAAATCACAAACGGTCACCCGAATGAAAATTCATTTTGTGAGTAGGCAAAAGGAGCTTCGCCGTATGACCATCGAAAACATAAGAGAACATTCGCCCGTTCGCGACGCCTGGCTACCATAACATGCGTGTACATATATGCGTTCACCCAAGTTCAATAACAATAACGAGTAGCATATAACTTATATGTATACATTAAGTGCGATTGCCGCGAGGACGCACCGCGCGGCCGACTCTCGTTGCTCGATGCTCGTTGCGCTAAAAACGGATATATGTGCAATTGTAATTTTAAGGTCTCGTTCGGTCTCAGCTCGTGTTGACAAAAGTTTAAAAGAGGTTGTGAGGCACTCTGAAGACGTTCTAATGTTCTCTCAAGTGTCTTCCAAACGTTTCTGAAATTCTTGTGTTTGAATGAGCGTCCTCTTTTATACTATAATTAACATTCGTCGAGAGACAGCAATCGATTTGTCGCACCAACGTAATGTCACGTCGTGACGTAGTATTCGCTCTCGAATCAGATTTGTTTCAAATTGAAAAGAATCTTCGTGAGAGAAGGGGGAGGGGAGGAGGCCGTTAATCAATATATACTCGATTAATTATTGCAGAACTTGGAAAATACCAAATTTCTGATGCAGACGGGAAGCTCAATCGCTATCCTGATTGTAATTGTTATAGCAGACGTAGGCCGCGCGGTGTAATGCAAATCGAGCGTTAATTAAGTATTATATTAACAACAAACGAGAAGGAATAGCGTAACGACGTCACTATTGCTAGTGCATAATGCCTATTATTACAATTATCATTACTATTATTATTATTATTACTATTATATTACACGCGCTACGACTATTTTATTATTATTATACATTATTATTGTCATTATTAATATTAATTATTATTTACTGTTAAGCCATGCATGCCAGCAAGACCGCCTTGCTCCAGCTGGCGTGTGGAACTGATTACACGTAAAAATATCGTTTTTTATAAAGAAAGCAAAAAAGAAAAACAAATCACTACGCATTTCACACACATTTCATCATCGCATCGATAGAATCATTATCCGTTAATTCCTTTCTCGCGAAATCGAACGAGAGAGTGAGAGAGAGAGAAAGAGAGAGAGAATCTTCTTCTCTAATAACCTTAAATAGTACAAGCGATGGCCCTTCTTAATTTTAGAGCGTTGTAAAAGCTGTACGAAGAATTTATTATTGTTTTTGTATTTATAAAATTTAATATAAATGAGAATAAAAACTGAGTTTCCAAATCTTTTTATTTCTTACTGGGCGTGCTCCGACTTTCTATCATCTTTTAATATTTTTACATCATATTTTGATATATTTTTTTTCACGTAGATGATCCATGCAGCACCAAAGTCCGAGATACATCCCAAAGACATCACTGTCTGTGAGATATTTCTGAGATGTATTCAACTTGATGTAACTGAGGTTTATTTTGGACTTTTTTGCTGTATGAAGACATAAACATGTCATCGATGAAGCGATAAGTACAGATATAAATATGAATCAATGTGTTGAGTAAAGTTTGGTCTACAATGTGCTTTTTTTGCTTCCTGTTTCTATCTTTTTCTGATTAAAGTTTTCAAAACTGAAAGTTTAAGTAAGAAAAAGATAAAAAGAAAGAAACAAAGAGCATATTGTAGATCAAATTTAAGAAGTTAAATTTCGGGAATAACATTTGTGAGTCTGTTTGGATATGCACTGTATCTATGCAACGAGATGCAACATCCTTGCGGGCATTAAGCTCACCTACATTCGTTCTGGGAGATTTGATGCATCGTGCCTGCAGTATAGCGTAAGAAGTCGCTCCTCTTCACCTTTTCATAAAATCTTCAGAGGATGTTCTGGGACGTTCTTAGGATGTATGAATGTCCTTAGAACGTCTTTAGAACGTCCTTTGAAGATTTGTACTGTATGGATCTGATCTTTTAGCAACTACACGTTATCTATATGCGCTCAATGAATAGCGCATTCCGAATACTGGGTGCTTTCCAATTGCTTAACACATCTTAATACACACGTACACAAAACCAGTTTATTGGTTACATATTATCTAAAATATCTTGTAAGATAATATGCAACCAATAAACTGTTTTGTATAACATAGTGTACGCAACTGGAAAACACCTACTGTGTTGTATATCCGTTTCTAGTGATTCAGAGTTTCTCTATACATCTATAAACAATATTTGTCCAAGTTATTCAGCATTCAAAAAGATTAACGATCTTGTTTGTACTTACATATCTTCCTTCGTAACCTTTTAATAAAAGAAAAGATCTCGCTAGTGCTCTTATTTAAAGATAAAACATATATGTTCCATGTTTAGCGCTAAAAAGTAACTTTATCGTAATAAGCCAAAACGACGAGTTTTACCGATAACGTTTCTAAACTACACTGTAAGCTTCCATAAGATGAAACTAGATGGCACTTGTGTTTCGAGGATTGTTAAAATACTAAATATAGAATAGAGTCTGAAAATACACACAAAAATCAGGATTTGAAACTAAAACACTTTGAAACTCGTAAAAAAGGATTATGGCCGAATTGGGCCATAATCATGAGTCATGAGCAGGGTTGGGTACGCATAATACCTCACGTTTTATGCGTGAAGTTTTATGTGCAGAAAACTCGAGTAATCTGCGCAGATAACTAAATGAGGTTTTCTACTTCATAAAACTTCTTTTAGAGCTATTTTACAATTGCGTAAGCGTAGTCGTAAATGGTTGTATGTGATTATAACCAATCAGAATAAAGTAATCAGTGAAGTAAACATTATGATTGGTTGAATTTATAACTGTTTTATATATAAGACAAAGCATAAATATTTGTCTATGATCATGAAAAACATGAAATTGTGAATCTAGTTTATCGCTGTTTCCCATTTTTTAATTTTTATATCTACATGTATAAAAGTCGATTCGACTTTTCATTTCGGGCTGGCTAGGTTATTTTAAAAGGCCATCTGTTCGACCATCTGGGCTGCGTTCAGAAACCCTACTCGGCGAGTAGAGTAACATTTAATTAGCCAATCAGGGCAAAAAGAACTAAGATTTATTTATCCTGATTGGTTTATTAAAGTAACTCTACCCATCGAGTAGGGTTTCTGAACATAGCTCTGGGGGTACGTACATGTCCCTAAGTCTTTTTCGAACTACTTATTTTTTGACGAAGTCGTACCGTTTCGGTGATACGCAATATCTCTTTTCAAATCGTGGAGTGGTATTAAGGCAAAGTGCAAGCTGCCTGAAAATATGGCCGGTATTCATAATCGGATCTTATATTTAAGACCGTCTTAAGTTCATCTTGAGATGATATATGGATTATTTCATTGGCTATTGAATATCTGAAAATAAATTTAAGACAGACTTAAATATAAGATCCGATTATGAATACCGGCCTATATATTGAAGGAAGAAAGGTTATTTTAGGTTAGAGTGGGCGCGTCTCAGGGGTTTTCTGCATTTTCTGCATATTCTGCGCGTTTTCTGCTGATAATAGACATTTTATGCATATTATGCGCATATTACTTTCCTATCGCGCATATTACCCATCCCTGGTCATGAGACAGCTCTCTCTCTATATACTTGGCTTTCAGGCTTTACTCGTTAGTCTCGATCTACAATAGATGTAATAAGTTTTAAGTTAAGAAATTGATCAATTATAATCGAATTATAGAAGAATAATCAATCGTGATTGGTCAATTTCTTACGGTTTAAAACTTACTACACTAATGGCTCCTGCACACATGACGCGGTAATGCTTGCCGCGCGGCGGAAGTCCGTGCGACAGCCAATCAATATGTTGTCTTTCCGTAAGAGTTAGAAGATTATTAGGGAAAGCAACATATTGATTGGCTATCGCGCGAACTTCCGCCGCGCGGCAAACATTACCGCGTCCTGTGTGCAGGAGCCATTAAGCCAGCGGCACATGGTGCTTGTTTTCATGCTGGATTGCTTGCTGAATGGAAATACTTTGTTCCGATTGATGTATTTCTGAAGATGGATGGAAATGCACCAATCAAAACAGAAGGTTTGTTCGCGTCGCATGCCCCAATGTGCTCCACACGCTCCAATGCACTCTAATTGGTCATGTCATCACGCGGACCAATCAGAGTACGTTGGAGCGAGTAGGAGTACATTGGGGCATACGACGCGAACAAACCTAGAGTATTTCCATCCAGCAAGCAATCCAGCACGAAAACAAGCACCGTGTGCCGCTGACTTTAATTGTTCCGTTACGCTATTTCTTTCTCCATCTGAACGCTCCCTTATGTCAATTCGCAGCACTCCTTATGGGTGCGTTCGAAAACACTGAAAGTCCACGACGGAAAGTGGCTGTGGTGGATGGGCTTGGTGGGGTTAGTGGAGTTGGTATCGAGAGGAGTTTTCGAACAGCCATGGAAGAATGCTCAATGTGACATACTACATGTGTGTTGTGCCTACATATGTTGTACAAAATGATCGAAAGCGTATTTCGACATTAGCTATAATTGCTTCTCAGCAAAATAATAATAAATTAATAAATTTAGTAATTAATTAATTAATTAATTTAGTAATTATTAATTTATAATTTAGTTATCTGGAAAGTTAATTGATTATATATTTCTCGGTCCGAGAACTCGGATCGATTTCTAGCATCGTGGGCACCAGGCCTAAGGAAATTTATAAACTTATTTATTACTCCTTACCTTTAACATCGTATATATAGACATTTCCCTTGTCATCCTTTTGTATATTTTTTTTAATATCCATGCATAAAATATGACGACCCGGGATGAAATTTTCCATTTTTTTTCACAAATTGTTACTGATTCGTGACTTTTAACGTGCCTCGTATCTCGTAAGAAAATTTCAGAACCTATAAAATACAAAAAGCTTAATAAGCTTTATTTATATTTAAAGACAATATTCTGACAATATACATCACTATAGAAATAAACCTAAACCTGGCTAACCTACACTGCTGTATTTAAATTTTTTATCTTACCGTGATGGCTAATGGTTGTACGAATGTTTCGAAGAACAAAAAACCATAAATAATTTAGTAATTTCATACTGTATTGCACTCTTTGCGCACTCTCCACCATCTCCACCGATTCACACCGCGCAAAAGAGATTGGAGAAAAGTCATACGAGTGGTCCACGGAGTACGGTTTTCGAACGGCCATGGTCGCATGGTCAGTGTGCCCACTAGGGGTTTTCGAACGATCTGAGTGTGACAAAATACACACGGGTGATGTTTTCGAACGCACCCTAAGGGCTGCGTTGAGATTCCACACCCGGGTATATTCTATTACTAGAAGTGCTATAGTATATGTAACATATACTATAATATTTCTAGTAATAGAGTGCACTCAGATGAAGAATTTGAACGCACCCAAGCAGGAGCCAATTTTTACAAGAGAGAGTTTGTACCCTCTGTCAAGATGGCGGTTCTGCTTTGTTGGTCTGTTTACTTCGAAGAACTGTAGCTTTGTTGAATGCGGGTAACAAAAGACGAGTAGTAGTGGTCCGAATATTTCCCTTAAGAGGATTGCGATTACACTAATGTTTGTTCATATTGGCAATTAACAATAGCGTCACTATTGTGTACAGTCACATCAGATTGAATATATCAAAATGGGTGGTGGAGATTTGGTAAGTACTTTGCGCTTATGACAAATTTATGTTAGTTATAAATAATATTATTCTGATTATAAATATTATAAAACCATTTCAAACTATTATTATATGATCATATTTTATTTCATGCGTATGCATTTGTATATTATAGAATTTGAAAAAGTCGTGGCATCCATCTACTATGAAAAACATGGAAAAAGTGTGGAAGGCGGAGCAGCAGAATGATCAAGAAAAGAGAAGAATAGCTGAACTGAAAAAGGAGATTGAAATGGAGAAAGATCGGGAAGATATGACAAAATATGCTATGGAACAAGGTGTGATAGAGAAGAAAGATGAGAAAAAACTAGACTGGATGTACAAAGGCCCAAATCAGATGGTCAATAGAGAGGAGTATCTACTAGGAAGACCAGTTGACAAAGCTTTTGAACAAATGATTCAGGCGGAAAAGGCAGAGCTGAATAGGATACCAAAAAATCATGTTGAATATGGTAAATTTATACTTACGCAAGACAATATCTTTTAGCACTATAGGCACATGAATGTATGCGTATGAGCAATATTTCATTTAATGTAATATAAGTAAAAGATGAGAATAATAAAATTGATAAAGTTAAGATTTGAATCAAATATCAAGATTGATATTTTATATTTATGATACTTGGCCTTATATTTTGGTAACTAACTTTGGTTGACTTTGTTTTGTCATTAGAATGCATCCCTCCTTCGCTGAGATTTTTTTCTGGTAACGAACAGGTAGATTTAGCCAGGAAAATGCAAGAAGACCCTCTGTATGCCATAAAGAAAAAAGAAGTAGAGACCAGGAATCAACTCTTAAAAAATCCTGTTAAATTAAAACAACTTAGAGTATTGGTAAGTATATGTATATACTTCTACACATGTGTATACATATATATATGTAATGTGTGTGTGTGTGTGTGTATTACTGAAAGTAGCCTGAAAAAATTGTTCCTTTATCAATCTTGTAATAGACTGATTTGTGAATGAAAAGTCTCAAAACAGTTGAATGATATAGTCCTCCTTGAAAACAAAATTGTTTTCTTTTTTTTGCACAAATCAATTTGCTACAAGATAAACAGAATCAACAAGTTTTTGAGGCACATCTACTATATGAATTATCTACATATCCTTGTTTACCTCTGCCGAATATTGATTTGTACATAATTTTCTGCATGATTTAAAGCTGGAACAACAGTCGCGCAAAAGCAAAAACGAGAAGAAGAAAAAGTTGAAGCAACAGGATAGCAGTGACGACGAGACTAAATTAGATATGTTGTTAGTCGCCAAGTACAAGCAATTAAAGGACAACATCAGCGAAGAAAACTTATTGAAATCGATGAAGAAACATAAACAAAAAAAGAAGTCGAAAAAACACAGTTACTCCGAGAACGATTCAGATAGTAGCGACGACGATACCAACACTTGTGTCAAAGAGAAACCGCATAAGCGGAAAAAGCAGAAGAGAAATATAAGCGACAGGGAGGACGGTGATAGCAATAGTGAAAGCAGCAGTGAAGAAAATAACACTCAGCGTAAGAAGGAAGATGATAAAAAAAGACACGGTGATAAAAAAAAACGTTCGAAAGACAGTGCAAAGGTCAACGATAGCAAGAAACAAATTAGGGAAAGAAAATCAAGTAGAGACAGAAATGTCGAACACGAAAAGAGTAAAGGATATAGGGGAGATTATAACATTGATCGTAAAAGACAGCGATACGAAGAGAATAGCAGGCAGAGAGACAGTTCTCGGAATAAGTACAATGATGAGAGAAGATCTACCACCGATAGGCGAAATGATGGAACAACGAATAAGTGGAGATCGAGGCAGAGGCAGAACTTTACAGAGGAGGAGAAGGAACGACGGAGACAGGAAATGATTGCGAACGCGATGTGGCGCGATAAGGAAAGAGAAAAGAATGTTAAAATGTACCGTGAGGAAGAGAAGAAGGAAGCGCAGAGTAATAAGTCATACAATAAGGACTTCATTAGGTACGTCCTCTCGAATGTGTAAATTACGAATACACTATTTCTGTGAGAACAGACATCGCAATGCGTAAATATAATAACTTTGGCCGTTACTAATTAGAGCAGTAAAATTAATTGTGTTTATGTTACAGGAAACAATTAGTCGTCGCGACAGAAGTTGGTACCGTCGCATCCAGAATCAAAGCTAATATCAACAATATACAACGTTCCGGTCGAGCAATGGACACGAATTTCGCTAGGAGGTGACTCTCGTTTCGTGTAATTTGTACAATTGCAGAATATACTTTGACTTTTGTGTAAATATTATATATATATGTTTTATACTATGGCTGCGTTCCTTTTGGACGCTTACGCGCTATAAGTGCTTATAAGCGTCACTCTATCTTTCTTCCGCATCTAATGAGCAATAAAAATAGAATGGCGCTTACAGCGCGTGAGCGCCTAAAAGGAACGCAATTTATATGTACGTACACACGTACGAGCAGTGTTGTAACTAGCTACATGTATCTTTTTGCAGTATCTAAATACTTTTTGTGTATCTATATCTGTATCTAGTTATATTTTTCATTTCAAAATCTGTATCTAGTTACATTTTATTTCGTATCTATCTAAATTTGTCATTTAATATTTTGTAAATGTTTCTATTAACAATTATTATACATGAAAAAAATAAATGTAATTATTTATAACTATTAAAAAATAAAAAGTTCCGATACGAAATAAAATGCAATTTTGATGATTTTATATATAATTGTTATTTTTGACTACTATATAAATACTTTATTTTGTGTTTTTATATTTTCCTTGCAAATCAGACTTGTTTTCTTGTTACTTTAAAAATTGTTGATTTTTATATTATAACAAAGTTGTATAACTTTTTTTTTAATGTAATAATTTATTTGAAAAAAAAATGAAAAAGTCTGTTATTGACGATTAAAGAAATATCATAATTTTTCACGTATTTTAATGATAACTGCGATCTATGATCACGGATACAAAATATTTTTCACATGGTAAAATAGAAATCACAAGTATGTGATAGTTTACGTAATAGCCGCTGTTTGGTCCTGGCGGCGCTGCAGATGTTGACAGACGTTTTGCTGCAGACATAAGATAGCGGCTAGCAGTCCCTGGTTATATAGTCAAAGATTACCACGATGAAAATGAAGGACTCTGATTGGTCAATTTTTTTATGCGTTTGCATTATGTCTTTATGCAAGAGTGTATGGTCTCCACTTTATATTCTTACACCATAGTTGCTTTGTGGGTGCGTTTAGCGAACTCAACAGTTGCACAACAGTTGAGTAATTCGTCAATGGCTGCATTCAGCAGACTCAACAGTTGCACAACAGTTGAGTAATTTGTCAATGGGCGCATTCAGTAGAAAAAGCGCTCAGTGAGCAATCAACGATTATTGGTTCTTGCTATTAGATCCCTAAATCTAGACCAATTACATTGACAAATTACTCAACTGTTGTGCAACTGTTGAGTCTACTGAATGCAGCCAATGTAATTGGTCTAGATTTAGGGATCTAATAGCAAGAACCAATAATCGTTGATTGCTCACTGAGCGCTTTTTCTACTGAATGCGCCCAATGTAATTGGTTTAGATTTAGGGATCTAACAGTGGGTGCTTTCCAATTGCTTAACACATCTTAACACATATGTACACAAAACCAGTTTATTGGTCGCATATTATCTAAAATATCTTGTAAGATAATATACAACCAATAAACTGGTTTTGTATAATACACAAAACGTAACTGGAAAGCACCCAATAAGAACCAGTAATCGCTGATTGCTTATTGAGCGCTTTTTCCACTGAACGCGCCCATTGGATGCATTCAGTACTACACCGCTCAGTGAGCTCTTGTATCCCATTGGCATATTCTTTTAGATCTAAAAATATGTACCAATGAAATATAAGAGCACACTGAGCGCTCCGTAATTGAA